GGTCTTAGTTGTATCTTTTTATTTTTTTTATTGTCAGAGGGTACATGTATTCACCAGGAGAGAGAGAGAGAGGGAGAGAGAGAGAAGATATTTCCAGTGGGGTATGGTAATGTCACAATCCTTTTTCCTTCATTCTTCCTTCCCATCAGGATTTTGGGCATACACTCATATGTGCTTGGTGTGTTTTTCAAGTCACTGAAGCTAGAATTTGTGTGTGTTTAATTTGCCATAAGGTGTGTGCACACACCAGAGACACAGAGAGAAGGAAAATAAGAAATCACCCCTCCAGGGGGTGGTTGTGCTGTAATTCCCTTTCCTCTATTCTCCTTTAGGTATTTTGGACATGCATACACATGTGCCCAGTGTGTTTTTCAAGCCACCTGGTCTGGGACTTGAACTGCTCTGTGGGCCACATGGGATCCAGTTGCCTTAATCACCATGCCACTAGCTGGCTCTGGGGCTAGAATATGACATCTAGTTCCCAACGCACAACACTTTACCATTGTGCTACAAGGCTGGCCCTGGATTTTAGGTTTTGCCATCAAAGTTGCTATTTTTGTGGAAAGAGTTATGGATATTCCAAAACTATTCCATTTCCAACTTCCAAGAATTCCTTTGCTTTTCTTCCTGAGCCCTTCATGTAGCAGATAATTATTTGCTAAAGCAAACCACTTTTCCTATTTCTTCTACACTCTGTCCCTCTAAATAAGCACAGTCATGCAACTAGCTCTCTGTAGTGAAACATGAGTAGAACTAACAGATGTCACTTCACTGTGGTAGCAATTGAGATCCCTTGGCATGACTCTCTAGTTTCTTTCTTCCCCTTTAGTTATGAACAGAGAGACCAAAGATGGACGCAGCCTAGTTTGATGAATTTTGGTGTGGAGGACAACAATCGACACTAGAGTATGCATTAGCAGGAAATAAACTTCAATGTGTTAAGTTGTTAATATTCAGGGTTGCTAGGACACCACAAACCCAAATAACCTAGATACTTCCTTACCTATTTCCTCTACTATTATCCCCTTTTCACCTCTTGTTCTGTGAATATACTCAAGTATCTCCTTAAAAATAACAAATTAAAAAACCCTTCCTTTCATCCTATTGTCTCTTAAATGATCATATATCTCCCTCCTCATTTGTTGATACATTCCTGGGTCGAAAAGTCTTTATTTGCTACCTAACCTTCCTCACCTCTCACTCATTTCTTAATTCCTTGGGATCTGGCTTCTGCTTTCTTCACTCTTCAGAAACATTTTGTTTGTTTGTTTTTGCCAAAGAGTACAGTGCTTGCTAGAGAGAGACAGAGCAAGAGGGAGAGGGAAAAAGCACTCCAAGGTGAGTCTACAATGAGGCATTGTTATGTGGCAATCTCTTCTCCATGTTTCCCATCCTTTTGGGATTTGGGGCATGCATATACATGTGCCCAGCATCTTTTTCAAGTCTCCAGGGCCAGGATTTGAACTCTGTAGTTGGCTGAATGGGAGCCTATTCTATTAACTATTAGTCCATGATGCTGGTCTCAGAAACTTTTTTTTTTTTAATAGAGATTTTTGCGGGACCAGCAATTAGTGTAATGGCTATGTCACTGGACTCCCATGTAGTTGACCGCGGTTTGCGTCCCAGACCTGGTGGCTTAAAACTCACGCTGGGTGCATGTGGTTGCGTGCCCAAGAACCCGAGAGGAGAATGGAGGAGAAGGGATTGTGGCGTGGCCATCCCCCCTGGGGGGGGATTTCTTGCTTTCTATCTCTCTTTCTCTCTCTCTGTCTTTCTGGTGAGCGCACGCGCCTTATAGCAAAAACCTCTCCAAAAAATAAAAAGAAAAAGGAAAAAAAAAGAGAGAGAGAGAGAAATTTTTGCTATAGGGCATATGTGCTTGCCAGAAAGAGAGACAAAAGGCAAAAAAATCACACCCCAGGGGTATGGCCACACCACAATCCCTTTTCCATTCTCCTCTTGGGATCTTGGACATGCATGCACATGCACCCAGCATGAGTTTCAAGCTGCTGGGTCTGGGACTCAAACAATGGTTGACTGTGTGGGAGCCCAGCAGTGCAACCATTACACCATCTACTAGTCCCTTTTTATTTTAGATTACCAATGACCTACTATTTGTCAAATCACACTCAGTTTTGCTTGACCTCTCTTCTACCAAAGCCACAAACTCTAGTCAAGTGGTTTTAAATCTTTTCTATAATCACAGATCTCTTTGAAAATCAGACAAAAGCTATGAATCCTATTCCCAGAAAAATGTGCATACACACACACACATACACATTTTTCATAAATTTCAAGGAGATTTTGATCAGCAGGCTCTTACAAAATTCATCCATAAATAGCGTAAACATGCCTGTACCTTGGGTACTCACTCATCTGTACTCCAGAAAGGAGCAGGAGGTAAAGAGAATTATTCACAATACATTAAACAGTCAAATGAAGTATTCATTCATTTCCCAATGTATTTTATTATATCAGCATGAGGTTATATCTCTCCTCTTCTTCTGGGGGGGGCATTTCTGTAGTGACTTATCATATAGTCCCTCATTTATCTCTTCAGTCATGGAATAGTTACCACACTAT